ACAAATCAATCATTGTGATACATCATATCAACAGAATAAAGGACAAAACCATATGATCAGTTCATATGGTTTTTGATTGATACTGAAAAAGTGTTTTATAAAATTCAACATGTCTTCATGATTAAATATCCTAAAATAACTGGGGATACAAGGAATATACCTCAACATAATAAAAGTCATATATGACACATCCACAGCTAGTATCACATTGAATGGGTGACATATTGAAAGCCTTTCCTTTAAGATCTGGAACACAGCAAGAATGCCCACTTTCCTCATGCCTGTAATCCCAGCACTTTGTGAGGACAAGGCGGGCGGATCACGAGGTCAAGAGATCGACACCATCCTGGCCAACATGGTGAAACCCCATCTCTACTAAAAATACAAAAAGATTAGCTGGGCATGGTGGCATGCACCTGTAGTCCCAGGTACTCGGGAGGCTGAGGCAGGAGAATTGCTTGAACCCGGGAGGCGGAGGTTGCAGTGAGCCGAGGTCGCACCACTGCACTCCAGCCTGGGGCATGGTGATGGAGTGAGACTCTGTCTCAAAAAAAAAAAAAAAAAAAAGAAAAAAAGAAAAAGAATGCCCACTTTCACCATTGTTATTAAACATAGTATGGGAAGTATGGCTAGAGCAATCAGACAAGAGAAAGAAATAAAGGGCATCCAAATAATTGAAGAAGTCAAATTATCCTTGTTTGCAGATGATATGATCTTATATTTGAAAAAAACCTAAAGACTGCACCAAAAAATTATTAGAAGTTATAAACAAATTTAGTAAAGTTGCAGGATATAAAATCAACATATAAAAATCAGTAGTGTTTCTGTACAACAGTGAACAATCTGAAAAACGAATAAAAAAGTAATCCCATTTACAATAGCCACACATAAAATTAAATGCCTAGTACTTAACCAAAGTTGTGAAAGATCTCTATAATGAAAGTTATAAAACACTTATGGAAGAAATTGAAGAGTACACCAAAAAATGGGAAAATATTCCATGTTATTGGATTGGAAGAATCAATATTGCTAAACTGTTCATACTACTCAAAGCAATCTACAGATTCAGTGCAAAACCTATCAAAATACCAATGACATTCTTCACAGAAATAGAAAAACCAATCTCAAAATGTATATGGAACCCCAAAGACCCATAATAGCCAATGCTTTCCTAAGCAAAAAGAACAAAACTAGAGGAATCACATTACTTCAAATTATACTGCAGAGCTACAGTAGCCAAAACAGCATGGTACTGGCATAAACATGGACACATCGACCAGTGGAACAGAATAGAGAACCTGGAAACAGATCCATACACACACCTACAGCGAACTCATTTTCAACAAGGATGCCAAGAATATACACTAGGGAAAAAACAGTCTCTTCAATAAATGCTACTGAGAAAACCGGATATCACCATGCAGAATAATGAAACTAGATCCCTGTCCTCAGCCAGATACAAAAATCAAATCAAAATGTATTAAAGACTTAAATATAAGACCTCTCAAACTATGAAACTACTACAAGAAAAACATTAGGGAAAATCTCCAAGACATTGTTTGGGGCAAAGATTTCTTCAGCAATACCCCACAGTCGGGCAACCAAAGCAAAACAGGGACAATTGCATCACACCAAGTTTAAAAAGCTCCTGCACATCACTTCCCAGCCTTTTGGCTAAGATCAAATTAAAAAACACTTGCATAGCAAAGGATACAATCAATAAAGTGAATGGACAACTCACAGAATTGGAAAAAATATTTGCAAACTACCCATATGATAACGGATTAATAACCAGAATATATAAGGAGCTCAAACAACTCTACAGGAAAAAATTGGATAATCTGATTTAAAAAAAGGGCAATAGATTTGATTAAACATTTCTTGAAAGAAGATAAACAAATGGCAAACAAACATATGAAAAGGTGCTCAACAGCATTGATTATTAGAGAAATGCAAATCAAAACTCCAATGAAATACCATCTCACCCCAGTTAAAATGGCTGATATCCAAAAGACAGGCAATAATAAATGTTGGATGTGGAGGAAGGGGAGCCCTTGTATACTGTTGGTGGGAATGTAAATTAGTACAACTACTATGGAGAACAGTTTTGAGGTTCGTCAAAAAACTGAAAATTGAGCTACCACAGGATTCAGCAATCCCACTGCTGGTTATATAAGAGATCAATATAGTGAAGAGATATCTGCAGCCCCATGTTTGTTGCAGCACTGTTTCTGACAGTCAAGATTTGGAAGCAACCTAAGTGTCTATGACAGGTGAATGAATGGAGAAAATGTGGTACATATACACGATGGAATACTCTTCAGCTATAAAAAAAGAATGAAATCCTCTCATTTGCAACAGCATGTATCGAACTGGAGATCGTTACAAGTGAAATAAACCAGGCACAGAAAGACAAACACTTCATGTTCTCACTTATTTGTGAGATCTAATAATCAAAACAACTGAACTCATGGACATACAACAGAGGAGGATGGTTACCAGAGGCCGAGAAGGATAATTAGGGACTTGGGGAAGTGTCAATGGGTAAAAAAAATAGAAAGGATGAATAATACCTACTGTTTGACAGCAGAACAGGGAGACTGTAGTCCATAAGTTCATTGTACATTTTAAAATGTAGCTAAGAGTATAATTGGATTGTTTGTAACACAAAGAATAAATGATTGAGGGGATGGACACCCATTTTCCATGATGTGATTAATACGCATTGCATGCCTGTATCAAAACATCTCATGCCCTCCATAAATATATATACCTACTATGTATGTACCCACAGAAATTAAGGATAACTTTCCCCGTTATTTTAATGGAAAATGACTGCATTGTCCCACTGAAATTATTTTTTCCTTGGTGCAGAATCTGGGAAAGGCCTCAACTGTACATCATGGGAAACTGATTTTAAGAATGCACCTCTAGCTGTGCACATTAATGGTAACTAAAGTCAGCAGAACCTTCTTCCTCTCTCCAAGTTCCTGGGAGGTTGACATCTTGATGAGTTAGTTGCTCACGGAGTCTGCATCTGAGCCGTAGAGACAGTCTTGAGGGATATTTTTGGACATCATAATTTAATGCTTTCCCTTGGAAGGTGCTGGATAAACGCCACTGAAAATCCCTGTTGTTTTGGGTGTCCCATTTCCAGGATGTGTGTAGAGTATACTTCCTTCCCTGTCTTTAAGACTTTAATCATCTTAGTGATCAGATCTGGATACTGCTTCCAAATCTTCTCAGCAACACACCTTGTTCCTTTTCTCTTAAGCTCCAACTGCTCCTCCTTTATACATCTGTATTCCTCATAAACACTAACTGTGCAGCACCATAACTATCTGTTGTATTTCCTGGCATGGACCAACAGCTCCTCGAGGGCAGGGTCCATTTATTATTATCATACTCATACCCAGCTACTGCCTGACATCCACTGGATGCTCAAAAACCTTTGTGAAATGAATGAATGAACAGTAGACTTTGTCTAATCTCATGTTTGTATTCACACCATGTTCACTCAGAGAAGGCGACTTCTTACAAGTCTTACTGAAAACCTACTTCACTCATTATGTACTAAGGGAACCACTTTTCACAACCTGATGAAATATGCTTCTCAAGCTGGACTTGCTCAATCCTTTGGTCATCTTCCCTAGAGCTAAGTGATAATATGTCACAAATTGCAGCCGGTTCCTTGTTTCCAACATCTATCTCTCACCTTACTGTTCAAGCTATGTTCTTAGTTAAATGTATACCTGAGAATGACAGAGGCATGTTATGAAGAGGCGAAGGACCTTTGTCCTAAAATAAACTTTGCGGTTTTTTCTCCATCTCTCTTTCAGTGTATCCTGAAAATCAACCTGAATTCATAATTAACAAACACTGAATGTTTCAACAGGAGGTTTATTACTAGCTAGGATGAACAAATGTAATAGAATAACTGCCTCTGAAATACCAGGTAATTTTCGGCAAACTGAAAAGATTGTCTGAATTGTAATTTGTGGAAAGGAGCTGATTTGAATAGGGCTTTTGGGTTTTAAAAATTCCCAGTAAAGAATTCAGCTGTCATCCTTATTTTGAAAATTAATCCTACAGTTAAAGCTAGCTGAGCACTACACTGTCAGGTTGGAAGTGCTGACCAATGAGCTTTTTAAGTTAAAAAAGGCTGTTATATTGGTATTTAAGTTATGCCAAATATTTTAGATAATAAAGTTGTATTTGCAGTTATACTGTTTACTTCTCAATATATTACCAAATATAGTTTATTTAAAGATGGAAAAAAAATTAAAATCTACTTATCTTTGAATTCTAATCCTGATTTTGCTATGCAAATAAGAATTAGATTTGCATAGCAAAATCAGGATTAGATTATAATGTATAAATTCGCATTGCAAAATCAAGATTAGATTATAATGTATAATGTATAAATACATTTAGCAACATTATAATTACACATTTCACTAAAACTGCCTCATTTGTGAGAAAGTCCTTTCTATTCCCTCTGCTCCTTTTGTTCTTAATTCTAAGGCCAAATTTTTAGTTTAGATTTTTAAAGTGAAAATCGAGGACCTATTCAGTTAAATTTGTTTTTATGTCATAAATTATTACTCGTTGGAACACAATATTTAGTGAAGATAGTTTTTAAAGCCAAGAAAGCCCTAAGTATTGCACAAATTATACACGTATCTGAATTTACATGGATACATAGATATCAGTTCATTTGACTCACTCTCCTGTTTCAGATATGACCAGAGGCTTGTAAAGACAATGTGGAATTCTAAGACAGCACAATAAACCAATGTAACCATTTCCCTTTGCCAAGCTTAGCAAAGGTGGTCATGGAGCGGAAGAAAGGTGGTCATGATGATCCTATTTCCTGAAGATTAAGGCTGGATTAGGCTGCAGCCGTTCAGAGAAGAGGAAGCAGTAGAAAAGGGGTATTAGGTTATCCGATGCTCTCATTTGGTTAGATATTTTAAGGCTTTTTTTTTTTTTTTTTTAAGGCTAAAGACGGCTAAAGTCACTGGACACCTTTGCAGCCTTGTCATCTGCTCCTTGTCAGAGCTGAGTTGGGAAAAGCCAACCTCAGAGCTGCCTCTGTAGGAGTCGGGCGCTCTCCATTCCCTGCACGCCCCGGTCCCAACCCTGGCTTCAGCTTCTATCCCAGAAAAGAGGATCAAAACCACAGGTTCCAAGAACAAACACTGCGCCAGCGCCTCTGTTTTGGAGAAAAGGAAAAGGGTGTGAGGTTTCGGTCAATTTTGTCTGAGGAAATGAGATGAAAAGGGGTGAGCAGGGGACCAGGTGTCCTGAGCGCAGCCAATCTTGTTCGCTCTCAAGCGACTCGGGCTCTTGGCAGGACTTGCTGCGGAGTCCCTGACGGAGTGAGCCACTGAGGCCTTCAGAATCCCAGGAAATCTGGGCGTTTCTGGGTGTCCCAGGAAATCTGTCGGCAGGTGGGGAAGGGCTCGGGGAAACATCCGACAGTGGCGCCAGGCAAGAGGACAGAAATGCTCCTTTCATTCGCCTTGCAAAGCAGAGCATTTGGTCCCCGCCGGCGTCTGACTCTGTTGCGACAATCTAGATGCTACCTGAGTTCCCGGTGTTTTCTTCATATTCAAAGACACAGGAAATCCGGGGTGCAAGGGGGACTTCTGTCTCTCAAGGAATAGAAGTCTGACAAACGTACAGAAATGAGTTTCGGGTTGAACAAGACCCGCTTCTGCCTTCCTCCCGCACCCAGCCTTGATTCTCCAGATGCTTCCCAACTTCCTCTTCATATTTGACGCAACTGCACGGGTTTCAACCTGCGCTTTCGTTAGAATACTTCTATTTTCCCACTAAAACAATGCCCACACTCAGTTTGCTTGGCGAAAACGTTAATAATGCCCACTTAGAAAACCAGCGATAATCGCTGCTTGCATGAAGTGGCCATTTGAATAGATTTGGGGTGTGATTTAGAGACTTACGGATGGATATTTTAAAAAAAAAGCAAAAGTAGTAACATTATAGCACTGGCAATGTGTGTGTGCATACATACACATATACAAATTTTAAATAAAGTTCGATTCTTTCACCTGGCTGGTCAGTCACCTGTGCAGGCGTCCGAGCCCCCGGGTTTCCAGGAGCCCCCAGTATAAGGACCCCAGGGACTCCCCTCCCCAAGAGGCCAGGCCGCCCGCCCAGCCCCCAGCCCGGAGCGCTGCCACCGACCTCCTCATCGTCCCAAGCCCCAGCGCTGTCGCCTGCGTCCCTTCCTCTTCCTGGGCCACAGTCTTGGCCTTCCCAGGCCGGCTTCTCGCAGTTGCGCAGGAGCCAGCGGGGGAAGACCTCTCGTGTGGACCTCGAGCACCACGTGCGACCCTGAAACCCCACATCTCCTCTCCCGCCTCGCAGGCCACAGGCAACGGGAGCCGGGCGGGACAGGCGCGGCCCACAAGGACCCGCCGCGATGGAGGCGCAACGCCGCCGCGACTGCCCTCGGGGCCGCGTCGCCGCGCCCCGGCCGCTACCGGGCAGGAAACGCAGGTGTGTGAGCCGATCCGGAGCGAGCCGCGCCCTCGGGCCGGTGTGTGCAGGGCGCCGCGGCCTGCGCAGCCCCGAGGGCCCCGCGTCGCTCTCCCGAGCCAGGATTCTCAGGAGCCGGCCGCGCAGAAGACGTTAGCCAGGGGAGTTAGCGGCTGTTGGGAGAACGGGTCACGGAAACAGTCCCTTCCCCATCCGCGGCATTAGTGGGGTGGGCGAGTCCGCCCTCCCAGGCCCGGGGCGCGTGTGACGACGCCGGCGGCCGACCCCAGCTCGCCCGGGTGGAGACGCGCAGCGGGAGCTGGAGGCCGCCGCCCGTTGGTCCCGCAGGGGCCTGAGCGCCCCGGGGTCGCGGCGCGTCCAGCCAGAGCGAGTCAGGTGAGCAGGTCGCCATGGCGATGCGGCCCCGGGGCGCTCACACCCGCCGCGGTTGGCATGGAAACGCCCCCGCGAAGGCCCGGGAGCGCCGCTGATTGGCGGATTTAACAGACGCGGGTGGGCAGCTTGGCCTCAGCCTGGAGCCCCGCAGCCGCCCAGGCTGGAATCCCTCGACACTAGGTGCCTCCTGCCCCGCCCTGCACCGCCCTGTAGGCCGCCGGATCCTCCAGTGCACTTGCCAATTGTTCCAGACACACAGAAAGATAACGTCGGGGCCTGCTTTGGGGTCTAGGCAGGTTTTGGGGCCTCCTGTGTGGTGGGAGGAGGCCGTGGGGCCGCACCCTGCCTGTCACTTGGGACGGAGACGGGCTTTCCCGTAGTCCTGTACCCTGGATCTTTGGTCGGGGTCTGGGGAGATGAGTATCTCAGCAGGGAAGACGGGGCTCCCAGATTTCAACTCGCAGTTAACATGGGGCTTAGTATCCCGACTTGGAGGCTTGTCAGAATATCTCTCTCCTTCCAGCCCTCCACGAGGTCTTGGAAAAAAGCCCCCCTCGGAGATTCAAATGACTGTTTTGATTCAGAGCAGCGTTGATTGCCTGTGCGGTCGCTCACGCCCTTTAAGCCCTAATGATTGCTGGGAAGATAAACAATTGGTGTTAAACTCATTGCTTGGTGTTCTCCCTCCTAGCGGCTGGCTGTGTCCTTGGAGCCCCGGGTGGACGGGGTTGACTAATCAGCTTGTCTGTTTCTCTTTCCCTGGTAGCAGCAACTCGTGGAATCTGAGGCAATGCACTGCAGCAACCCCAAGAGTGGAGTTGTGCTGGCTACTGTGGCCGGAGGTCCCGATGTTTGTCAGATACTCACCAGGGCCCAGGTGGGCCAGGATGCCCCGCAAAGGACAGTGCTAGGGCTGCTGACTGAAAATGGGCAGTACAGGAGGACCTGTGGCCAGGTAATGACGCAGACGCACTGGGAATGATGCTTGTGGAGAATGATTCTCCTGCTTTGGTGCTAGGTACTTTTCTCTTGCCCTTGTACCTACAACACCCCCTGAGTATTACAACCCAGGAATCTGGACTACGGGGAAGTTGCTTTCTTTTCTTTTCCTTCTTTCGAGACAGAGTTTTGCTCTTGTTGCCCAGGCTGGAGTGCAATGGCGCGTTCTCGGCTCACCGCAACCTCTGCCTCCTGAGTTCAAGCGATCTCTTGCCTCAGGCTCCCAAGTAGCTGGGTTTACAGGCACGCGCCACTATGTCTGGCTAATTTTTTTGTATTTTTAGTAGAGACGGGGTTTCACCATGTTGGCCAGGATGGTCTCGATCTCTTATCCTCGTGATCCACCGCCTCGGCCTCCCAAAGTGCTGGGATTACAGGCGTGAGCCACCGCACCTGGCCGCTTTTTTCCTTTTTTTCTCTTCTGTTTTCTTTTCCTTCCTTCCTTCCTTCCTTCCTTCCTTCCTTCCTTCCTTCCTTCCTTCCTTCCTTCCTTCCCTCCCTCCCTCCCTCCCTCTCTCTCTCTCTCTCTCTCACACACACACACACACACACACACACAGAGAGAGAGAGAGAGAGAGAGAGAGAGAGAGAGAGAGAGAGAGTGTGAGAGTTTTGCTCTTGTTGCCCAGGCTGAAGCGCAGTGGCGCTGTCTTGGCTCACTGCAACCTCCGCCTCTCGGGTTCAAGGGATTCTCGCCTCAGCCTCCCAAGTAGCTAGGATTACAGGCGCCAACCACCACGCCCGGCCGATTTTTTGTATTTTTAGTAGAGATGGGGTTTCACTGTGTTGTCCAGGCTGGTCATGAACAGCTCACCTCAGGTGATCCACCCACCTTGGCCTCCCAAAGTTCTGGGATTACAGGCATGAGCCACGACAATGCCCAGCCAGTTGATTTCCTATGATCACCTTGAGGGGTTCAAGTTTTAGCTAGAAATATTGATTAATTTTCTTTGTTATTTTTTCACTAAAAAGGAAACAGGTCTAGGAACTGTTTGGATTATGTGTATTAAAGTAATTTAAGGGCTGGGCTAAAAGGAAATGTGAATGCTTCTAAATAAACTGGAACTGGGGTTCCTCCAGGTGAGAGCAGTGTTCACACTGATGTGGGCTGTGCCTGAAGCAATCCTGGATAATCTTAGCTGTGTTTATTGGGGATAGTGTTAAAATCAGGATTAGATAGGGCTAGACTGGATTACTCCAAAAGGGTGATCTAAAGGCAGACATCTCCCCAGTATTGACTAAGCAGCAGTGCTAACAGGTAATGGCCCCTCAGATATTGGTTGTGTGAACTTAACTGATCATAGATACCTGAACAGACTGAAAGCCATACCTTTCCTATTTTGTAGGTGAGAAAATCTGAAAGGTTTAAGTCTCTGTCAAAAGAAAGTTGTGACAGAAACTAGATTAGAAGCCCCTCATCTACTGACTGTTCATGTGATTTGTTCAAAGCTTTGGAGAAAATTGAGTGGAAGTGGTTTTAACAAACTTTAATTTGCTTAGCAATGTTTTCTTTTTAAAACTTGAAGCCTGAGACTTGGTTCTTATGAATTGTCAGTTGTGCCTACGGTAGGTGGTTGCATTTTAAATTCCAAATTGCTAACCTCTTAAGTTACCTGGTGCCACCTCTGCATTTTCTTGTACCTATCCTCTACAACCTGCTTAGAAACCTATTTTGTACCTTTCCTTCTCTGTTTAATCCTCAGGGACCTCCTCCTTCACGCTCACTCTCAGCTGATGACTTTGTATCCTATTTTCCTAAAAATATAGAATTGACCGGAAGAGAATCTCCGCATGTTCCCATGTGCTATATACTCTGCCATCCACATCCTGTTATGTGTCTGCCATGTCCCTGCTGTCATGGAAGGCCAGCCCCCCATGTGTATAATATACTCATGTCTTCTTGTTTCTTCAAGGATGTCACTCTAGCACCTTTTCTTTTTCTCATTAGTTTTTTTCTTTTCTACTGGGTCAAACCCATAAGCATACAAATATATTGCCATTTTTCCATCTTAAAAACCTTTCAACTAAATTCTCCCCCTGAGTATTACAGCCCTGGAATCTGGACCACAGGGAAGAAGTTGATTTTGTAAGATCCCCTTGACTGGTCCCTTTTCCAGCTAGAAATGGTCATATCAAGGAAATAGGTCTAGGATCCGTTTGCATTATGTCAATTAAAGTAATTTAAGTGCTTAAAGTAAGTTAAGTAATGGCACAGAAGCTGTCGCATTTAGAGCCACGCATCTTGAGAGTTTGCCATGTCTTGACATACGCACTGAGCAGTGCCTGGGCCTGGCCGGCGTGGCACACAGCCTTTGTTGAATGAATGCTCTCCGTCTCTAGTTTTTCTCCTGTTCTATTTTCACTCAGTTTGTGGTCTTTTCCTTCCTCGACTGATCGGTATTATTTGACAGAGTTGGTCCTTCTTTTTTCCTTGAAATAATTTCTTCTCATTCAGCCTGTAGAACACCACTCTCTCCAAGCTTTCTACCTAGCTCACTGGCCGTTCTTTGATATCCTGACTCTTACTTATATATCCAGTCTCTAAAAGTTAGAGTGGCCTAGGGCTTAGTCTTTGATCTAAATCTTGCACTCACTCCCTTAGTAGTCTCTTAGTCTCCTAGACTTAAACACTATTTATTTATTTATTTGAGACGTTTATTTGAGACGGAGTTTCGCTCTTGTTACCCAGGCTGGAGTGCAATGGCGCGATCTCGGCTCACCACAACCTCCGCCTCCCGGGTTCAGGCAATTCTCCTGCCTCAGCCTCCTGAGTAGCTGGGATTACAGGCACATGCCACCATGCCCAGCTAATTTTTTGTACTTTTAGTAGAGACAGGGTTTCACCATGTTGACCAGGATGGTCTCGATCTCTTGACCTCGTGATCTACCCGCCTCGGCCTCCCAACGTGCTGGGATTGCAGGCTTGAGCCATGGCGCCCGGCAACGCTATTTATTTGGTGATGATTGTATTTCTGTCTGTGGCCTCTGAGCTGTACTGCAGGCTCACATATTCAGGAGCTCACTTCGCATCTCCGCTTGGATCATATAATAGGCAACCTCAGGCTTGTGTAAACCAAATCCCCATCCTTTTCCTTACTCCCACAGTGTTCTTTCCAAGTCTTCCTTGTCTCAATAAACGGAATATCTATCCTTCCTGTCATTTAGCTTCCAAACCTTTGTCTTCCTTGATTCTTATTTTTCTCTCACCCCACATCTAATCTAATGAGAAAATATTGTTAGCTCTACTTTTTAAAATGTCTTGAACTGTTTTGCTTTTCCTGGACCAAATCCCTATTGTGTCTCACTTAGAATTTTCTAGTTTTGTAATTGATTGGCTTACTTACTCTCCACTCCTTTGCACAGCCAGAATAATCCTTTTAAGAAATAACAAGGTTAAACCACTCTTTGTCCAAAATTCCAGTGGCTTCTGTAATAAAAGCCAGTTCATAGATCAGCCTTGGCCAGTGAACTAAACCAAAAATAATATTAATAAAAACGAATCCTTAATTGGCCTGTGGTAAGTCCTTCATTGGGTTCTCTTTACTTTATGACTGTCTCACTCTGCTCTCTCTGCTCCTACTGTGTCTTTCTAGTTTGTTTCCTTCCTCTGTCACAGAGTAGAATATAAACTCCATTGGGGTAGTCCTTACTAAACATTTTACTCACTGCTAAATTAAATCTGGGCAACTAGAAAAGCTTCCAGCACATAGTAGATAGTAAATATTTGTTTATTAAATATATGTCTCAGCCTATGGACACAGTATCTATGTAGCAAGAGTCAAACTTGGCAGTAACTTGGAGTCTGGTTATCTGATTACAGTAACTTAGGATTGTGACTCTGTTGTCTTTGTGATTCCCCCCCCATTGCTACCATAATTGTTCTTTTTCTTACTAGACATAAATCACATATTTAACTCGATAAATAAAAGGGAAAGTTATGGAACCACAAACGAACTCAGAAGTAGCCTTCAACAGTATACACCAAGATACATTATAAACAAAGTGCTAATGTGGTAGACAGAAGTAGCATTTGCATAAGTATAGCTCAAGTTCATAGAGCTTGCCCATCTGCCCTGATTCGGCTGTCATTCACGCCATCTAGCATGGCTCACCTTAATATGCAACAGTGTTTGATGCATTGTATTGTTCACTCTGGTGAACAATGTTGTTCCCATTGTTCATGTTATAAGAGTAGAGAAAAAGGAGAAGTGACTGAGAAATGTCCCCAAGAGTAAATGCATTAAGTCATATATAAAGGTTCTATGGCTTATAAGAGAATTTAGCAGCATAAGTTTCCAAAATTGTTGTGTTTTTAATAACTGGGTATAAAACGAAAACATTACAGGGACCTTCTGACGAAAACGTTTATTTAAGGAGGGGAATTGTAGGAACTCAGCAACTGCATCAAGAGTTATGCTGACTACAAAACCTCATGGTGCAATACATGTAAAAGCCAATTTACAATTTTCCCTTTATATGTGGTACCTATTTCATTTTGGAAGAGAGCTATAGGTTTTCTATAATCTTCAGTTCTCTTTGATACCTATGTGAGGTAGATTAAAAATTTGGGTAGCTCTTTCTCCATATATCAAATGTAGACAAAGATAAAGGGGGAAAAATTTTACTTTTGAAGACCTATTTTCGGGAATTAAGTTGCCACTGTCAATTTTTTCAGTTTAGAATTTATCTTACCTTCCCAGGCTGCTGCTCTGAGTCATGCCCATTCACATTGCCTCTGTGGTCTTTGACGTGGCCTCTAACAAAAGATTCAAACCTTTTCTAGGGGATCACAACAATCAGGTGTTTTTCTGGATCGGAAAATGCCTTCCCTCCAGCTGGAAAGAAAGCGCTCCCTGATTGCAGGGTCCAAGAGCCCCACAAGCAAGGGTTTGACATCTTCATGGACGAACTAGAGCAGGGCAATGGAGACAGCTGCTCAGGCAGAGAGGGGACGGCGTTTGAGGATGTGTATGAATTAGATACCAGCACACTCAAGTCAGACCTGCACTTCCTGCTGGATTTTGACACAGGTAACTGACCTGTCTATGGCTGATGGCTCCCTGTATTTATAACTGCCTGCTGCATTCAATAGCTAGTAACTAGTAAGAGAAAAACAGTAAGTAATAACTATATTCACAACTGAATATAGTTGTGGAGGGTTAGCGGACTGAACAAGTGTTTCAATTAAATGACTTCCCTGACAATGTTGAACTCCTGCAGTGTCCCCGATGCTGGTCGAGTCGTCGCTCCACTCCCAGCCTGAAGATATATCTGATCTTGACACACACGTGATAAATGTGACTGAATATGCTGAAGAAATTCATCAGTACCTTAGAGAAGCTGAAGTAAGTTATCGTACTTTCTACTTCAATCTGCAGGACGCCAAACACTTATTGTTAAGAGAAATTATAAACTCTTGGTCCATAACCGATAGTGAATGGCACTCTTATGACAGCTAAACATAAGGATATCTATGAAAAACTAATCGTGATGGCAAGTAGCAGTTGCTTGGACTATTTCTACATGATTCAAAGGATTTATATGTTGAATATTTCACTCCTAGGAAGAATTCATATTGCCATTCTCCCCTGTCCCTGATCCCAGGGTATTTGCTAGCCAATTTACATTACAGAACCAGAAATTTACACTTCCTTGTTATGACAAAGATTTATTTGGCTCTGAATCAGGATCTTTCCAACCTTTGCTTGTGAGATTTTTAAATAGCAACTGTATTGTGGAGTGATCTTTCTGAAATTGCAACTATTTAAACATCAAAACCTTTTCCCCACTCAGATAAGGCACAGACCCAAAGCACACTACATGAGGAAGCAACCGGACATCACAGAGGGCATGCGCACAATTCTGGTGGACTGGCTGGTGGAGGTTGGGGAAGAATATAAGCTTCGAGCAGAGACTCTGTACCTGGCTGTCAACTTCCTGGACAGATTCCTTTCGTGTATGTCTGTTCTGAGAGGGAAATTGCAGCTCGTAGGAACAGCAGCTATTCTTTTGGCTTCGTAAGTGTTCTTTCGACTTGAATAATATGAACCCGTCACCTGTCAAAACACCGAATTTTTATCCTCCATGTCTTATTGAAGAAATGCAATGCTTGATAATTTAAACCATTCATGCGTCCTTTGATAGAAGACCATCCTCCCCACAGGGTTGACTGAGAAACTGAATCTTACCACATGTTTACTCTTCAATCACATGGTTAAGATTTTTAGCAACAAGTCCAACATCCTTACTAAGGCAGCCATCAGCTCAAATTCAGGATCTAATTTAACTTTTTTGCAGTGCAGCCTTTAGCTGTTTTCTAATCTAAGTAGAAGTCCCATTTAAAGACAGTGTCATTACAAAAAGCTGTCTTCATGACCCAGCAAATGACTCAGAATAGTTTATTTGGTTACAGTGAATAACCTACTTCAACTGGTTGCTGTTACTGTCAGTCACTCATAACATTACCTAATTGTGTGGGAAAAGAGAGCTGGGTTGTGGCCGAGGTACCTTCAGGTGACCTGTCGCTAAGTGGTAGTTTCTTTTCTGTTCTTCTGGTCTCAAACATTCCATTGCTAATTCGTAAAAACTTGCCAGAATTCCCCCAAAGAAAGCAGAAACAAAGGCAGAAGGAAAAAATTGATCACAGTGAAATTATATCACTTTATCTCTTGGCTATAAGCATCATTTGCTAATTCCGTGGAGAAAGTTGAACAGCATCTTTTTAAAAACTAGAGGCCTGTGGAATTTGTTTCTGTCATTGTGTTGATCCTAACACTTTTTTTCTGTGAAATGATCTGAGGTCTGTAGAATGAGCAGGAGTTTACCTACAGTGTCCGTCCTTTGGAATCTTTCAGTGTGTCACAGGCCCAAACCTAAAATTCTCAGTTGGAAATTGTTCCTGTTACTACTCCTAGCAGTAAATATCACATATCCTTGTAATAATCGTGTTCTTGGTCCGGAAATAAGCTCTTAATATTGTCAAGACCCCGTGCCATTTAGTGGTATTTAAGTGGATATGTGGCTGCAAAGTAAGTTTGCAAGTGTTATGGGGAGAGGCCTAGCTGTGGTATCACAGACAGTAGAGCCAGAGGTTTCAGGTTTTACTTCTAAAAACTCTTCCTTTCCCAGGAAATATGAAGAGATCTATCCTCCCGAAGTAGACGAGTTCGTCTATATAACTGATGATACATACACAAAACGACAACTGTTAAGAATGGAACACTTGCTTCTGAAAGTTCTGGCTTTTCATCTGACAGTACCAACCACCAACCAGTTTCTCCTTCAGTACTTGAGGCGACAAGGAGTGTGCATCAGGACAGAGAACCTGGCTAAGGTGTGTATGCCACGTGACTTCCAGGAACTTCCAGTGCCAAGGAGCATAACAATCAACCTCTCCCCGTCATTCTTCAGTTATTCTTTCCTTTTCGGTTTTTTTCTCCACAGGCCCAGAAAAACTGTTGAGTGTTGAAAGAGAGCTAATTTTAAGAACCCAGCTTCTGGTTACAAGGCATTACTGTTGACTGTGTTTGGCAGGCACAGGTTGTCTAATCACCCCACTGTTTCAAAATTTAAGCTTGGAAACTGTTCCCTTATTGAATACAGACCACATACAAGCGAAACCTCCTAGGTTTATAGAATGGGAACGAAATAGTCAGGCATGGTGGCTCCCACATATAATCCCAGCACTTTGGGAGGCTGAGGTGGGTGGATCACATAAGGTCAGGAGTTCAAGACCAGCCTGGTCAACATGGTGAAACCCTGTCTCTACAAAAAATACAAAACTCACCCAGGTGTGGTGGTGCATGCCTGTAGTCCCAGCTACTCGGGAGGGTGAGGTATAAGAATTGCTTGAACCCAGGTGGTGGAGGTCGCAGTGAGCCGAGATCACGCCACTGCACTCCAGCCTGGGCAACAAAGTGAGACTCTGTCTCAAAAAAAGAAAGAAAGAAAGAAAGAAAAGAATGGGAACAAAGCAAATGTAGTTTAATATGGTTCCGATCTCATCCTAATATATTAAGTAATGAGCACTAGTTGGTTGTTTGGAGTTACAGAAGTTTAATTGAAGGCATTAAAGTATTGGTTTGATCAACTGAGTTTCCAACTGTTGTAATCTAGGAGATCTGGTATGTGTGCTATGCAAAGAGTAAGAAGGATGTCCACATGTCTTGCTATGCTGCTTCTAATATGAGATGTTTCCACTGGTGCTGTCCTAGTCTCTGAACTGCATGCATTTGCCTGATGGATCAGTAGCTTTAATGTTTCTGTCTTTTGGCAAAAATCTCTGTTCCAATTCCAGCTGCCAGAGCAGTGCTGCTTTCTCTCGCCAGCATAAACCCATCCTACTAGCATAAGAAAAGTGACCTATCGCCTACACTTTGTGAGTAGGCCAAATACTTATGTATTGACATTTTACTACGACATAAATGCTACTCCTATTCTAGACCGGCATCCCAATTACTAACCCAGTACATAATTTTGAGCATCTATTTCTGGAGATGCTGATCCAACAAAGATAAGATACCGTTTATTTCCTTGCCATTTCCAGGCTTACTTGTGACCCTAGTCACATTTCTGATTCCAGTGTGTTTTCCTCTCTTGTGCTTAGTATGTAGCAGAGCTGAGTCTACTTGAAGCGGACCCATTCTTGAAGTATCTTCCCTCATTGACGGCTGCAGCCGCTTTCTGCCTGGCCAACTATACTGTGAACAAGCACTTTTGGGTAAGATTCTAACTTCTTTCTGGATGAAATTCAAGGTCTATCTAGAATGGGCTTGCCTCTTAGGGGGCAAGTTAGTTTAATGACAGCTGTTTTAATGACAGTTTAACCACAAGATGCTGCTGAGTCCTGCATGGCTTTGTCAGTCTTTATGGCTCCGACTCTATGGCTTCACTCTATGAGGAGTGAGATTGCAGGAAGTCAAGAAGATAACATCACAGGCTCCTCCAACAGAAGCAGGCCTAGAAACCTCAGTGCCCACTGTTATTCATAGACGGCCCTTGAGGTACCGTCATTGACTGCTTCAAGCAAAAGTCGTTGACTTTTACCCTCTACATAAAAAAAAAAAAAAAATCCTGGGTCCAATTAGAGTGGCCAGAAGATTGCACCTTGGGCTTTCAAGGCAGCAGGGCAGTAGAGTGGCCTCTTGCCCAAGAAGGTGGCAGCCTCAGAAATGGAACCCCCTAGGTTTGGTTCTGAAGGCTCACTGTTGAGCTGAAAGAAGTGGGGTGTCTACCTTTATTGCTATGAATGCTTCTACTTTTTTCTGCTGCATTTTTCTTTTTTTTTTTTAATTTTCTTTTACTTTTTTAAAAGTAATTCTTATTTCAGCACTGTAGTGTTTTCATCTTGTGTACAAATAGAATGGGCAGGCAAGCAGGGCTCTGTGAGGACCTGTAAAAATTTCACTCATGAGGGAACAAGGAAAGTGATCCAGCCCCAAACTGAGCATGATACGTTTATAATATGACAAAATTTAGAACCCTGGCTGTTCTTTCTGATATTTTACATCTAAAGTCTCTGAAGGAGGTTCTGGTTTCTTTTGAGATGAATGTGGATGTTTACTAAGGACCTAATTCCTTTATTTCACACTGATTATCTTCAGATTTCTAATATAAAGTTGTGTGAAGCAGTTTTTTCCTTTTGTCTTGATTAGCCAGAAACCCTTGCTGCATTTACTGGGTATTCATTCAGTGAAATTGCGCCCTGTCTGAATGAGCTTCATAAGGCATTCCTTGGCACACCCCATCGACCTCAGCAAGCAGTTAGGGAGAAGTACAAGGCCTCAAAGTAAGTCACTGACATTTCCATATCTTAACTCTCTACTTAAAGCTTAGTGCGTTATGGTAATGTTCAGACTTAGAAATGGGTTACATTGTATATCTGGTGCCAGGTTGGAAATATAAGGTTACATGTACAAATCTACAAACAAATGTGAAGACATCTAGATCTTATGATTTGTTGACTTTGAATACTTATAGTCAGCCAGCTTCCTTCCATTCTCTTAAAACTACTGGAAAGTTTTCTGTGGCCTAAGTGAGATTCTTTTTTTTTGAGACGGAGTTTCGCTCTTGTTACCCGGACTGGAGTGCAATGGTGCAATCTCGGCTCACCGCAACCTCCGCCTCCTGGGTTCAGGCAATTCTCCTGCCTCAGCCTCCTGAGTAGCTGGGATTACAGGCACGCGCCACCATGCCCAGCTAATTTTTTTTTTTGTATTTTTAGTAGAGACGGGGTTTCACCATGTTGACCAGGATGGTCTCGATCTCTTGACCTCGTGATCCACCCTTCTCAGCCTCCCAGAGAAGTGAGATTCTATAACAGTGAAGTCCTTGGCTCGTGCTGACCTGGCTTTGGGTGTTGTTTCAGGTACCTGCATGTGTCTCTCATGGAACCACCTGCAGTTCTTCCTCTACAGTAAGTTTCCAAATGGAAGCACTTCTGGGCCTTGACCTCCACATGAAAAGTGCCATTAATTTTCATAGGTTTCTGCAGGCTGGATCGACTAACGTTGCTATGCTATAAATAACATTTGAAAATGTAAATGTATTTAGGTTTCCTTAGACTTTAGTAGCTTGTAATATTGTCCAACATTTTTAAAAGAATAAACTGCTTGTCTTATGACCCTGTGTCAGACTTTTTTACTAGTGATCATGGCTGACATACTCGCCTGGAACGTTGTTGAGAGTATTAAAAGCGTCATCTCTGTTTCAAGCATTCTTCAAAACTGGTTTAGTCAACAGACATGCTGTTAGGATTAAGCATTCTGAGGTATCCAGGGATATTCATGTTGGGTAAGTGGCTACTCTGAGGCTTTTTTCCTTTTTATTTCTTTATTCCCCAGATAGCTCTCCATAGATTAGCAAAGGAAGGAAGGGACAGCCGAGACAGATGGGTGAAGGGTTACAAATAAGCACTGCCTCCTCTCGCGCCACTCTGCCATCCGAATCAGTAAGACAGCGGTGAGGCCCAAATGTGGTCACATACATCTTCGAAGTCACTGACATTTAATTCTAATCTGAGGACAGCATGCTAATTTGTACAGAGTTGCTATTATGTCTCCAACCAGGTTTGTTTAGGCATCCATTGAACATGTATTTCTGTCTTAGAAGATGCTTTGGGAGGTAGAAAAAGCAAATTTCACCTTCAGAAGAAACATCAGAATAAGAAACCCAACCCACCAACCGTGTCTCTTGGGAGATCTCCACCCTAAGCTTTGGTGTGGCTTGAATTATTCACGGTCTTTAGTGAGCTACAGTTCACTAATCTATATAGGCTTCTTTTCTTTTTTCTTTTCCCCTCCCCTCCCCTCCCCTCCCCTCCCCTCCCCTCCCTTCCGTCCCCTCCCCTCCCCTCCCCTCCCCTCCCTTCCCTTCCCTCCCTTCCCCTCCCCTTCCCTCTTCTTCCTTCCCCTCCTCTCCCTTCCCCTCCCTTCCCTTCCCTTCCCTTCCCCTCCCTTCCCCTCCCTTCCCCTTCCTTTCCCCTCCCTTCCCCTCCCTTCCCCACCTTTCCCCGTCCTTTCCCCTCCCCTCTCCTTCCTTCCTTTCCCTATCCCCTCCCTTTCCTTCCCTTCCGTTCCCTTCCCTTTTTTCTCTTTTCTTTTCAGATGGAGTTTCACTCTTGTCACCCTGGCTGGAGTGCAATGGCACAATCTTGGCTCCCTGAAAACTCTGCCTAGCAGGTTCAAGCAATTCTCCTGCCTCAGTTTCCCAAGTAGCTGAGATTACAGGCATCTGCCACCATACTCAACTAATTTTTTGTGTGTTTTTAGTAGAGACAGAGTTACACCATGTTGTTCAGGCTGACCCCCACTGTTCGGCCCGCATCAACCTCCCAAAATGCTGGGATTACAGGCATGAACTACCATGCCCAGCATGCCTGGCTAATTTTTTGTATTATTATGATTTTTTGTAGAGGTGGTTTTTTTTTGTTGTTTGTTTGTTTTTTGCCATATTGCCCAGGCAGATCTTGAACCTCTGGGCTTGAACTCTTGGGTTCAAGTGACCATCCACCCACCTTGATCTCTCAAGGTGCTGGAATTACAGGTGTGAGCCAATGCATCCGTCCAGCCTATATATGTTACTTTTCAACAGCACTTTTATGTAGGCTATAAGATGGGTAAAATGGAAAACAGAACAGTTGTTTTGAATTTCTTTTAAAGATTGGAAAAAAGAAGAGTAGATTTGGCCTTGAGGACGGTTGGTGCTTATTGGGGATTAAATGTGAATATTGCATTGTGCTCTTGTTATCACAGAATTAGTGGCCATGGACTACTATTTCTTGAGCCCTCGGGGCTGTGGGTGGCTTTGCAGAGGGGCACCTGGAGAGGGGACTCCATGGGGCAGTCCTGAAGACATGATTTGCTTTTTCTACCTCTAAAACCTCTCAAGAAGATAAGAAATCCATGTCTTCTAGATTCCTTTACATAGAAGAGATTAGACTCAGACAGGTTTTGGGGAAATGAGTATAAATGAGATTCACTCCAAATTTTGTTTTTTTCAAGCTCTGATGAAATTATAAATATAAAAATACAGCCACAGTTTATGAAGACTTTAACACATTTTAAAGTATCCACAAGTTCTTTAAAGATTTTAGCATTTCCTCCACCCTCCCCTACTTTTTTTTCCCTGCAGATAAACATTCTCAAGGTGTCTCCATTTCTGGTTCCAATGAAGAAAGCATTTCCCTAAAGGTTTTGACATTTATTGCACAGAGTTCACCAAGGGGATACAGGACCTGTATGAATACTGAATGCTGTTTTTATGCTGTGTGATGAATAACTTATTTCATACTGTAATTTATGACTGTGTACGTTCCTGTTCCCTGCATGAACCTGCTGAACTTTCCCACTATCCTTTTGTATTTTGCAATGTGACAGTCAAATGGCTCCCTCCCCAGTGGCGAGTGGGAGAGGGCAAGTCTGTTTTTGTTGTTGTTTATTGGTTTCTGAGGCAGCGTCTCCCTCTGTTGCTTAGGCTGGAGTTCAGTGGCACAATCATGGCTCACTGCAGACTCGACCACCCAGGCTTAAGCTGTTCTCCCACCTCAGCCTCCCAAGGAGCTGGGACTAAGGTGTGTGCCACCATGCCCAGCCTGAGGGCAATTCTGGGTAGGGTTTTGGTGGTAGAAGTGCTGTTTTTGTCCTTTTATTTTTTTTTTTTTTTGAGACAGAGTTTCACTCTTGTTACCTAGACTGGAGTGCAATAGCGTGATCTCGGCTCACCGCAACCTCCGCCTCCTGGGTTCAGGCAATTCTCCTGCCTCAGCCTCCTGAGCAGCTGAGAATACAGGCACGCGCCACCATGCCCAGCTAATTTTTTGTATTTTTAGTAGAGACGGGGTTTCACCAGGTTGACCAGGATGGTCTCGATCTCTTGACCTCGTGATCCACCCGCCTCGGCCTCCCAACGTGCTGGGATTAGAGGCTTGAGCCACCGCGCCCGGCCATGTTTGTCATTTTCAAGCCCTAAAACTTTGGACATGGCCAGGGAAGCTTCCTCTCATCCTTTACCCATTCGCGTTGCCTGATCACTTTCCTATGATACCTGTGTTTGTTTTGAAATGGACCCAGACAAGTAGCATTTTCTTTTGCTGGTAATATTCTTTCTTGAGAATGTTTTGTGTCAGTTAAAAGGGGATCTTGTAGAAATAGGTTCTCCACTGCAAATTATTTTACAAAGGAGCTTTTGTTTCTAAAACCAAATGCGAAATTTAGACCGTTAATGACAAAATCATACTATAGGACTGAACAGGTAACTTTCATGTTCTTTGCTGCTAGTGGTTTGCTCACACCCCATACCCGCCCCACAACACACACCCCCACTGATTGCAGAGGCCCACCCCTTAGCTTAGCCTTCCTTTTCTTAGCACTTTTTTGTGTCTCTGAAATACTTTATCTAAAAATAGAAATATAGGCATCACCTGTGTATCTCCCACCCAGTCTCAGAAGAAACAGCAGCCGGTCTGTCCCTTCTTTTATACTGTTATTTTTCTTCCTTGAATTTGGTGTTGATCAAGTTTGTGCATAGATTTTATACAGTCATGTGCCACATAATGATGTTTTGGTCAACAGCAGTCTGTGTGTATGATTGTAGTCCCATAAGATTATAGTACCGTATTTTTACTGTATCTTACCTATATTCAGATTTGTTTAGATACATGAACACTTACCATTGTGTTACAGTTGCCTACTGTATTCGGCACAGTAACGTGCTGTAGAGGTGTGCAGCCTGGGAGCAAGAGGCCATACCATACAGCCTAGGTGTGGAGCACGCTGTCCCACCTAGGTTTGTGTGAGTACACGCTATGATATTAACACAACCATGAAATTGCCTAACAATGCATTTCTCAGAACACATCCCCATCATTAAGCAATGCATGACTATATGTCATAAGAATGTCCATAAACAGTAATGCTTGTTTTTAAAATGTAGCGGTTATTGACTCCTTCTCATATCCTTCAGTGACACGTATCTTAGGTGGCATTGTTTTTTGAGATGATATGATTAGGTAGAATCTTAGTTATTTATACTATTGCATTATATGAATAAGTAGAATCCTAGTTATTTATATTATTATATTGTCTTATATGAATACACCATGATTATCTGTTCTGTTGATTTTCCACCTCCTCCCTACCCCACTCCTTGTCACCCAGTGGAAATTGTTTTAGACAGGGCTGTGGGTGTGGGAGTACCACGCCTGTCTACCTCTGGAGGTTCTTCAACCTGTTGCTTCAGACAGATCCAGGCCTTTCTGAGGAACTCACACATGACCATGAATGTAGATGCCCTTATTGAAGTGGCCATGAGAGAGAACTACAGGAACAGCATTTGCCAACCCTTTATCCGGAGCAAAAGCCCAAGAAGTTAGACGGATATATTCAAACTGTTCAGTCATTTCTGTTTCTCCAGTATGTTTTTGTCTCCAGAGTTAAAGTAGCTAGACGTTTTACCACTAAAACTTGGAAATGGACATGCATACTCTTTGCTGAAAGTGCCATGGTCAGGCTTTATGTTCCATGTGTGGACGGTGGGGATGGGGCTTGAGGCAGGGGAACGCTCCTCAGAGCTCATACCTGTGGCTCCACTGGTATCCTGGCTCCAGGGCAAGGCCCGTGTGCAAGACCCGGGTCTCCCAGGATGAGTTGTTTTGTTTTTGCTTTTACCCCAGGGAGGATGCCCCATTCATCATAGGATGAATATAAACTTACTCTGGGCAGCAAGTTGTTTAATATGTCTTTCATCAGTGATTCCTGTACTTGATGGTAAGTTTTGAAAAGCTAAATGGTCAGTGCACAGAGAGCCAGAGTAACGAGGGGAGAGGCCCAAGGGGAGAAGCATGACAAAGGACCTGGGAAGGAGGCCATGGGTAACTGAGTCAAAAAGCAGGGTCTGTGGGTGGAATGTCCTTGAGGAAGATGAAGTTTTCTGAGGCAGGTAAGTTGACTGACTGAGCTGATGGGCCGGTTGCTTGCCCATCAGTAGGTGTCTTCCCACGCCTACAGGTACTGCTTCTCCTTTGTTGTCTCTCCTCCCTTTCACTCTGGCTGGATATCCTGCTGAGCATCTCCGTGTGTTTGCTCCTGTCAATCAAGACACTATTGTTTGCATCAATTTGTTTGC